GCCCCCCCCCAAGGAGAACTTTCCAGGGGGTGTGGGAATTTTTTTTTGCATTTTATTACTATTATTATAATTATTATAATTATTATTATTATTAACTGGCTATTAATTACTTATTTGTAATTTATTAAGAATTATCGAATATTAATGTATAGTTTAACAAGAATTAGACATAGTAATTTATTATTTATAATTATTATAAATATACTGTGGATTATTAATAATTTATTAATAATTGTTAAAGTATTGATTTATAGTTTAATAAGAATTAGCAATAGTAATTTTATTATTTAACAATTATTATAAATAGACTAATAATTATTTATTCATAATTTATTAATAATTATTAAAGTATCAATTTATAGTTTAATACGAATTAGAATTAGTAATTTTATTATTTAATAATTATTATAAATATACTATTGATTATTTATTAATAATTTATTAATAATTATCGAATTATTAATTTACAGTTTAATAAGAATTAGCAATAGTAATTTTATTAATTAATAATTATTATAAACATACTGTGAATTATTTATTATAATTCCATAATAATAATTAAAGTATTATTTTATAGTTTCATAAGACCAATTCTTATTAATTTTATTATTTAATAGTTATTTAAGATTATTAATTATTCATTAATAATTTATTAATACATATAAAGTATTAATTTACAGTTTAATAAGAATTAGAAATAGTAATTTGATTTAATAATTATTATAAATAGACTATTAATTATTTATTGATAATTTATTAAGAATTATAAAAGTATTAATTTATAGTTTAACAAGAATTAGAAGTAGTGATTTTATTATTTAATAATTATTATAAATATACTGTGCCTTATTAATAATTTATTAATAATTATTAAATATTAATTTATCATTTAAGAAAAATTATAATTCATAATTTTATCATTTAATAATTATTATAAATAGACTGTTAATAATTTCTTAATAAGTTTTTAAGAATTATTGATGTATTAATTTATAGTTTAACAAGAATTAGAAATTTTATTATTTAATACTTATTAGAAATAGACCATTAATTATTTATTAATAATTATTTAATAATTATTAAAGTATTAATTTATAGTTAAATAATGATTAGAACTAGTAATTTTATTATTTAATAATTATTATAAATATACTGTGAATTATTAATAATTTATTTATGATTATTAAAGTATTGATTTCTAGTTTAATCAGAATTAGAATTAGTAGTTTGATTATCTAATAGTTACTATAAATATATTCTTAATAATTTGTTAATACTTATGAAAGGATTAATTTGCAGTTTAATAATAATAATTTTATTATTTATTAATAATTTTAAATATTAATAAATAATATAATATAATAATATAATTTAAATACTGTGAATTAGTTCACTAATAATTATTAAAGAAATAATGTATCGTTTAATAAGAATTAGAATGAGTTATTTATTAATAATTTATTAAGAATTATCGAAGTGTTGATTTATAGTTTAACAAGAATTAGAAATAGAATTAGAATTCTTATTATCATTTAATAATATATATATTATATATATAATTATATATATAATTATATATAGTAATATATAATAACATAATAATAAAATTAATCAATTTAAATGAATAATAATATATAATAATATATATTAATAATAATTAATAATAATTAATAATAATATAATTTACATTGAGCTGTCCTCCTGCCCAATTTGGGGGTCTGGGGCAGCAGGAGGAGCCCCCCCAGTTAAACCATTCCCAACATTCCCAGGGATCCAGGGGAATTCCAGGGATTAGATCCCATCAGGAAGCTCTGGAAGTTGTTAGTGCAGAGGGAGGAAAAGGGGAGCGTTAGTGGAGCCCCAAAAACCCACAGGAAAAGGTCCAAAAAGTAGATAAATATAAAAATATAAATATAAATATATAAATATAAATATAAATATAAATATAAATATAAATAAATAAATATAAAGATAAATATAAATATATAAATATAAAGATAAATATATAAATATAAAGATACAAATATAAAGATATAAATATAAAGATAAATATAAGTGTGAATATAAACAGAAATGGACTTGGAAATTTAA